GAGAGGAGGCAGGCTTCGGACAGGCCACAGAGAGGCCGCAACAGGCCAGCCAGCTGCTGAGGCCTCGGACAGGCCTTTGGAAGTGCTTGGAAGGGTTCTGCTAGGCTTGGCCAACTGCTGCATCCTGCGCCTTTGGAAGTGCTTGAAGGGTTCTGCTAGGCTTGGCCAACTGCTTCACCCTGCGGTGTCCCAGGCGCCTCCCCGCCTAGGCTTTGGCTATAGGCCGGGGTCGGCGGATATAGATAGGCGAACCTCTATCAAATCACTGAGCAAACCAGGGAACGAAGCAGATTCCCATCCTTCTGCCTTGCTGGAGTGGCTTGCTCCAAAACGACCTGTGGAATGCCGGAAGATGTTCTTGGTGGATCGAATCTGGTGCAGGGAATCAATGATCCTGGATTCAAAAATTCATTGCATCCTTGCCTGGCCGGTAAGCCCTCCAAATGTTGTCAGATATCCTCTCATCAGCAACCTACCAGGGTTGATTTTGTTGCCACAAGGCCTGTAGTGGGTGGGGGTTGATCTTTGAAACCCAAAGTCGAAGCCAGGCTCATTCAATGAACCATTGGGGCCTGGTTAGCCATTTGGGGTCTGGTCTTTCAATGAGTCATTTTTGGGGTCTGGTTTTTCACAACTCCAAATGGTAAGCCATTTGGGTTAGCCATTTGGGTCTGGTCTGGTCATCAACTCCTTGGCCCCCTTTTGGGTCTTTCACCACTCTTTTGATGACAGCCACCAGCAATGAGACCTCGGTTCTTGCAGCCAGGTTTTGACGACGGTTGCTGGAGGCTGCAGAGTCAACCTTCGAGATCGGCAGCCTCAGCGCTTTTTGCTACTGGGGTCTAAAGACGTGGAAGTGGATAGAACAAGTGAGGGTCGGTGGTCTGAGGTCCCGGTTTGGAGAGTATTTTGTGAGGTATTGTGGGCTTCAGTTTTCGGTTGGGATGCTTGGTGTGAAGCAAGCTCGTTTTGATCGGGCCTTCAAATGCTGGAAGAAACAGCGCAGCTGATGGAGGCAGAAGCCATTCTTTTAATAAGTCTTGGGTGATCTCGCCAGGGTTCATTTTTGATTTTGTACAGTAGGAGGTTCTCCTTTTTCGCCATGTATTCCAGGATCGTGAGGGCTTTTGTTTGTTAATTACTGTTATCCATCTTGGACCTGAGCGCCACATCTCTTGAGATGTGAAAGATGCTTATATAAGAGGGAACGATGGTGAAGCCCAATGGCTCAATAGATCCATGCCCCATGTGGCCATGTCCGATGAGTTTCTGTGACAGGCAGGAATTCCTCATTTGCATCGAAGACACGGGCCGAAACAAACCACCAATGGCATCAGAAGCGCATACGCAGGAACCATGGGATCTAAGTATCCTACCTGACTTCCTGCAACTACGATGCTATGACCATGATATATAATTAATGATTGTTATACAGGTATAATATATCCATTGGACAATTTTTATATGAAATATATAATGATGGTATGACTTTGATGTGCATAATATGAATATGAATACAAATTAACATCACCCACACGACCGTCCCAAGCTCCCGGACACGTCGGCTTCCTGAGGTCCGATGAGATCGAGACGGGCTTGCTGAGCCGTGTCCAGCCAGGTGTGGTGAGATCCGTGCACGCCAGAGCGAAGGAGGACGTCTTGCGCATGGCCTTGTCCTTCTACGGAGGAGAAGAGCAGACGAGAACAGGGCCGAGTTGAGGGAGCAGAGCTTGGGGGGCTCAAAAGCAGGTACGGTCTTGTGATGTCTTGTGTTATTCATTGTTATTCACACTGTTAAACAATCCCAACCTATTGGGACCTGCCAACTGACGCCCATTTTTTTACCTACTTGTAGGGCCGTAACAAAATGCATTCAGCCTTGACAGCCAATAGACCTCCATTGGCTGCTGGGATTCGGCCAGGAGAGTCGGCACTGCCACGAGCACACGAGATGATGTTTTGTTCTGCAGCCACCTCATGGCCACAGCTGGACGCCTTCTTGGCGCGCTGCCAATACGTCCCAGGCCGTGGCTGCTGCCGTGCGCCCTGGGCGTGGGAGGGTTGCAGAATTGGCAAGTACCGTAAAGGTGGGATATGATACATGTCAGGGTAGATCAGCGTAGTATCATGGATATTGCATGAGACTTCTTGAATCTCTTGACACTTGATTTTGGTCCTTCAATGGGAAGATAGATGAAAGGATGGCCTGGAAAGGATGCCCTTGCAAAGATCACATGCTGATTCATCAGATCAGATGTGAATCTGCTTGTAGGGCCAAGGCAGCACTTTTAACTGGCAGGGCAAGAGAATTCACCTTCATGCCAAAACAAGCCACTTCGTTGCCTTGCCAACACCGTCCACTTCTGACCTCCTTGACTCTCCCCCCGACTTCTCTGTGCGCTAGGCCTTTATGTCATGGTCCATGTACAAAGATTGAGCTACAAGTTGCAGCATCGCCTCGTTGAGCACCTCAAGTCTCTTGGGAGCTCCTATCGCTTGGTGCTCGTGGCCCTGTGCAAGAGCGACGATGCGGCACAAGTGCATCTCCTCCGGGACCGGGCCGATCCCCGGATCCCACGCGTTCCAGCGTGTGCGGCGAGTGAGGTGGTGAAATGGACCTTTTGAAAGCAAGCGACTTCAACGCCAAACTCGATGGACAAGCGCGACAAGCGCATGGTTGGTCAAGGTTCAGTGGCTCGTTTACAGGTTCAGGTAGTGTGCCCGGTATGTAAATGAGCCGGGCAACCACATACACATACACACCACACCCATTTGGGCAAGTTAGAGATTGCACTATCACTACATGCATTTGCCACGGGGCTCAAAGCATAAGGACAAAGTTCGTACACTTTGGATCTATCCCAGAAGCTTGCCCTTTTCCGATATGAGCAAGGAATGCTATTGCTTGGCAGTAGGACCTAGAACACTTGGTATCAGCCAATGTGAATACCTTTGCAAATTCCGAGAAGGGTCCGTTCTTGGGAACCCCGAAAAGATTCAAAAAGGGGTTAATGTTGAAGTGAATCCTTTTCTGCAACTCCTCCATGCTGCTCTTTTCCATGCTTTTCCCTGTTCCTGAGCTTGCAAAGACCTGTTCCTCGGCCTGTTCCTCAGCCTGCCAGGAGATCCCCGCCAAGCCCGCCAGCCCCTTCTCAGAGCTGGGCTTGAAGCGCTTCGTAGAGCTTCTGGCGCCGAAGCTCGCGGTCGTGGTCTCGGAGAATGCTGGCTGTGGCTTGTCGCCACGCATCGGTTGTCTTGCGCAAGACATGTGGACGAGACAATTGGTGAGGCAGAAGCTTTGGGAGATCTAGGAGGATGAGCGTGGAGATCATTTGGTTTTCAGTTTGAGATGCTGGTGGGTGTATGAAGCAATGATGAGAGAATGTATATGCCAGGATTCTTCCATTCGAGCTGATGATGATGTGTGCATAATTGGTTGAACTGGACGGTTATACGGATACCCGTATACTTATAGTTCTTTTTCTCCAGCGATCTCGGTGATCTCCAGGGAACCCCACCTGAAGAGTGGAACGTGACCGTTTTTCCCTCACCAGGTGGGAAGACAGAGCTCGTTCGGCAGCGGGCCTTTGCATTGAAGAAGAGTCCAGTGACAGTGCCCTTGAGTGGGCCGGTGAACTTCAAGGAACCTTTTTTGACATGTGGATGAGGGATGGGGCGGACGTAGTGCAGCTTGGACGGGGATGGCATGCTCGATAGGGATATAATTGTTTAATATAATACAGTATATTTGTAACTATATATATATCATTCATGTTCAGATACTTAAGATATCTTGAGATCATATCCTATTTGCAAGAGCATCATTGCTTTTGACAGACCACTGGTCAGTAGGCCAGTAGGTCACAGGGCTTCTGAAGCTGGAATTGCAAGTCTTTACTGACTATATAGCCATCACACTTGACTGTATATGCAGCATCATGGCCAATATGCCGCCCATCTTGGACCTCAACACCTTAGGATGTGCTTTCGGATTGAACACTCATCCTTTTGTTTGGGTGCTCTTAGGGATTTAGGGGAGTTTGACTTTTCTGCAGAGGGCTTGGAACTTGCAGAGGGCGATCTGGACAGTTCGATTGTGCTAGGTTGCACTTTTGCTTTTGAAATAAGGTGTTTCTACTTCCAAAAGCAAAAGCAAAAGTGCAACCAACCATTATACCATTACCATGCATTTGTGTGGCGAGTTAGACTCTTTCACCTCATCCGTGCCCCAACATCCGGATCACCTGGAGACGACTAGCCGATGCAGTGCGTGCTACGGCAAGCCGCGCTCGAGAGCTCTCCCTCGTGATCGTGAACGTGGAAGTCAAGGTAATCAACAACAACAACAACAACAACAGCAGCAACAACAACAACAACAACAACACGACGCTACCCCTTGTTGCATGTGTGATCGCGACCCAGGCAACAGGATTCAATGAATTTGGGAGGGGGGACGTATCTTGGGGCGACATGTCAATGCTCATTCCCTGTCATTCCCTATTCGGGTCACTTGAGTTGGTGCTTCAAGTTCCCTCGACTGGCTTGTCTACCAGAGGAACCTTCCCAAGATCCCCGAAGTTTTGGTTCACGACCAGTATACACTATACGGAGTCTTCCACGAGGTTCTTGAGGTCTTGAGAATTAGTTATTACCTGCACCCCCATTCGAGTTGAAGTTTTAACTTATGTCCAGGATAAGCACTTATACGGTGATTTCCTTCAAATTTCTTTTCTGAACGGAGTTCATCGTATCCTACGGGTTCCTACGGAAAAAATCGTCCATTGCCAAGGGTCCGTCATGTTCGGTCACACCACCATAAATTCCATGCAATTCCTTATGTATACCGATCCACACTCCACCCTGCCCTGCACCTCAACCCCAAACCACACACACTTTCCACTGCCCTCCCCTGCAGCGGTCTGGCAGTTGAACAGTGAACATGCCGTCATCGCATGCTCCAGCAAACGTTAATTTGAGCTAAATACCGTTGAAGTGCCCGTAAGGCCTGGTTCCGCGGAGAAACCATGCGCGTAAGCGCAGAGATCCGTCCGACCATGTCCTCCTCCTGAAAGCAAGCATCAGCGAGAATGTTCCAGCAGTATGGAGAAACCTCGATTTGGTAAGCCATTTCCTCCACAAGTTCTTGAAACATGTGGCTTTTTGGAAACATGGCGAACGCAGGCTTGCCATCCTCAATGGCTTTGTGCGCCAAAAACTGGTAAGCTTGAAGGAAATGCTCTCCAGCTTTGATCAGTTCTTGTGCTTTGCTTCGCTCAATCCAAATGCCCTCCACAAACAAGGAGCTGATAAAGAAGTTCAAGGCTTTTGTACCCGAAGCCTCAATTCTCCCGGAGAATGTGCAAACACACTCACCGGCCCGAAGCAAAGTAAAACAACAAAGCAAAACATTGCAAACACAAAATGTGCAAGAACCACGCTTGAAGCGGCAATAAACCGAAGACGAAGGTCAGCATCACAGGCGTCCTTGAACTTTTCAAGGTAACTTTGCAGCCACTGCATCAGGGTCGCCGTCAGATGCGCTTTGTTCCACGATGCTGCGGGTTCAGGGGCCTTGAGGCCGAAGGTGTGAGCCTCAAACTTCTTGAGGTACTTCACTTTGGAATTTTCCTCACAGAACGACATGTAGTCATCGCTGAGAACGGCCACACGCTTGTCAACGCTCGATTCACCGGTGAGAAATTGTACGTACTTCACCGATGAGGCCACCCATGCCTTGCCAATGCCCATGTGCACTGTGTGCCAGACATCAGGCCTGTGGAAACGCTGCGCGCCTCCAGGGCTCTCGTCATGCAGCAGCCGTGTCCAAGCGGGCTCAACGTCCCATGGTGGTGGTGTGCCGCAAGTCCGCGCTGCCCTAATCAATCTTTTGGCAACTATCCTCGGATACATCGGAGAAATCCAAACAATCAACAGAGTAAAGGGCGACAAAACTGAAGTCTGCAAAGCCACCAAAAGTTAAAATGTAATACTTCCTGCACTAAGCGTCAGGTCTTCCCAGTCACCTTCTTTGGTTCCCCCCATACACAGGTGACAAATCCCAGGAGGGTTGTCCATGTATTTCTTTGCTTGTTCACGACCTTTGGGAGCTCGGCGGTATGACCTCTCCAAATTTGCCGATGTAACCTGGATTTGCAGCTACCCCAAAACACTCGAACATATAAAGGGCACTGTTGATAAATTTCTGAAGCCCGTTTAAAAGGACGGTTGGAAGAAGCACAATAACACAGCAGATCCAGGAAACAAGGTAACTCCAGTCGCCTTTGTTGCCAAGAACGATCGGAAACACAGTGCCATAGGCAGGAATCTCAATGCCGGAATCCTCAAGCTGCTTCCAGTCATCCACCACAATGTCAATGATATGTTTGAAAACGGAGGGGTCGCTCGAGTACATCTCCTATCAGGTAACATAGCTGGAGGTCTATAAATAACCCACCAAAGATACAAACCCACTTATTTTATTTGGTTTAGCCATATCACGAAACAGTACTATGTGCCAACCCCGTCCTTTGGACAAAGAAAAGTCAACAATCTGGTTTGTAATGCTGTCTTCACAAGGTTCATAGGAATGCCATAGGTTGCCAGATCTTTGTACCATGAGTCCGGGGTCTTAGTCTTCCTGGTTCCCTTTCCAAGCGCCCCCGAGAATTGGAGCACCAACATGCCATTCCGCTTGTACGTAGTTCCCTCGTCACCGTGAACCAAAATTGGTAAGAGGTGAGAGGTGGAAATTCTCCCCAGTGATTCACGGATTTTTCTAAAAACACCGTGCTGTGGATAGATGCTGGCAAACCGAGACCAGAACAACTCCAATGCCGGCTTTGCTTCTTCAAAAGTTTGCGCGCCACCAAGTAGCATATGGATGTCACATGTGCTGTACAAGGTCTTGATGAGATGCGATGGGCGGATCCATGGAAAGTTGGTCTGGCCAGCCACACAACTGAAGCTCAATGGCACTGGGTAAACCATACCATATTGCTTGAAAATCCGGGATACGCCCTCTTCCTGAAGCGGTTGTTTTCTCACATGTCAAAAGTCAACAGGTGTTCCCCCCACCCTACCTTGTTTGGTGATTCCCAAAACTAGAGGGTTGAAACACTATCCAAAGTAAATCCAGCCAAAGTGTCCGCGTTTTTCTCTGACACTTTGTGCAAAGCTGAGATGACTGGGCAGCAAAAGCCATCTTCGCCGCTGGCTCGCTCTTCAGCAAAGCGGTCACTCATGTCAGCTTTCGCGAATCTGACAATCTCAGCGCATGGTTCCTTAAGAATTGAAAGAACCAAGTCAAGGGGCAAACTGTGCAGGTCACATATTTTCATGCGAAGACCACCCACACTGATCAAAGCTCTTGAGAACTGTTTTGAATCATGTTTTGAAACCATGCTTGGTCAATGCTTTCGCAATGGCGCCAAGTTTCTCCACGACCATATTTCCAGGCCAAGTGCTTAGCCTTCTTGGAGGGACCTGGCACGTAGAGGTGGAAGAAACCCACAAACCCAGTGTCCAATGGTGCACTTCAGCCGCATAATCCTTTTGCTCTTGCTTTGACTCTCCCAAGGCATGTCGATCACACATGCAAGACCAGCGGGGCGAAATTTCCCCATCAAAGCAACAGATGTTCTAAATGTGTCATCATCTCCCTTCTATATATGCAGGTAATCCCGCACAGAAACATCAAAAAGTAGCTGCGAATTTGCCTTTCAGGCTTTGCTGCCCTTCCTTGGCTTCTTCTTGGAAGTCGCAGCCCCGGACTCAACAGCATCTTCGGCTTTGGCAGCTTTTGTGCCACGTCCCTTAGCCCTCTTTCTACCGGTCTGTTTTGGCACTTTGACCTCCTTAGATTTGGCTTCCTTAGGAGACCGGCCTTTGCCTTTGTTTCCTTTCGAATTCTTCTTACACTTGGAAGCGTCCTTTTTGAGTTGCCTTAGGCAGGAAATCCAATGATGGGGCAACACCATCACATGTCCATGCAATCACTAGAGTGGGATGGTCCAGGCAAGATGCTTGAACTCAGCATCCATTGTCAAGAGGTCTACACACCTTAGAGTTGGCATGTTCAAAGAACATGGAACTTGATTTGGGTCGGTTTGGAAGAACCTCGCCACAGCAAACCCCACCACAGATCACAAGCTGGTCAAGGATCGGAGATTTGACGTTGGCTTTCTCGCTCTCAATGGCAGCAATCAGCCTGGGATTGACGGTGTTGAGGGCTGAACAAATCAAACATGTATTTGCGCAGGTTCCCTCTTTCGATTCTTCACTGCTGTATCAGATTATCAGGTGGATGGGACTGGTGTAGAAGAAGACCTTCCATTTGGATAGAAAAGCCCACGCACAACATCATTCAAACAGGGTACCACTCTCCAAAATAACTGTCAAGTTGGGTGAACTGTCAAAGGCTGGACCTTCGTTGGCACTTGGCTGGAGGGGCGAGGCGCTTGAAGACGATGTTGCTTCGGCGTTTATTGGTTTCCGGTCCAAATTGAAATTGTTTTCATGATGGTGGTGGCCTGAAATCACTGGTGTCCATAGGTATGCTGGGGAAAGGACCTTGCCAAAACCTGTTCACCATATTGGAAGCCTGGGACTGGGACCGAGCGATCGAAATCCGAGTGCGCATGTTGG